CATCTAATTGTGTTCTTAAATTTAACAGCTGAATAATTTTTGGTTGATTGTAATCCATTACATACCTTTCTATCAAAGTTATCTGACATTATCAATATTAATTTGTTTTGACACAGTAGAGTTCTCGTCATATTTTATTACCATTTTCTAAACTATAGCGATACATGTTGAAAGTGTCTGAATAAAGTTTGGTTTGACTGTATATTTAGCAGTGCATAAGTTTTAACTCCTGCACAGCTATTGCAATCAGAGCTTACCTTGTGCAGTGAAGCTGTGAAGGGGATCCAAGCCGGCGCTCTGCAGGTCTACGCTCTCCTCGTTCCCATCATCTGCAGAGGAGGTGCGAGAGAAAGAGCGGAGCGATTGAGCGGGGCCCGCTTGAGTCCGCTCCAGCAGATACACCAGCTGGGCATCCAGTAACCAGGTTCTAGTGTGCAGGACCCCTAAAAGAGTGCTGGCACACAGACCCTCGATGCTCTTCCGTCGGGGCCGTGACTGGCCCAGAACGGGGGCAAAGTGTGAAACTGAGGGAATCTTCCATTTTTTGATCTTCCCCATGATAATGGCTTGTGTAGATGGAAATAGCCAACACTGCAGGAACAAGCATGCTTTTGTGGGCATGAAAGGAGAGAGAACACAGCGGCTCTACTGTAAACGAGCTGCTCAGTGATGGATTAGCATGGAGCTAACGATAGCAGGATCAATTACTTTAGGCCTCGGGGGACGGGAGAGCCCGGTCTGGTCTGTTAGGACAACAGTACAACCAGTGCTGGGGGAAGTTACTTTTAAAAGTAATGCATTACAATATTGCGTTACTCCATAAAAAAGTTACTAATTACGTTACTTAGTTACTTTTTATGGAAAGTAATGCGTTACGTTACTTTTGCGTTACTTTTTAATTCTGGACAGGGCTTGCTTGTTTGTTTTTAAAATAAAAAAGTTATATTTTTGGCAAATATAAAAGCCTTTCACAGCAAAAGTGAAATGAATGCGCCTCAGGCTGAAGGGAAAGTACAGTAGAATACAGGAGAAGACATTTCAACACTTCAGCAATAAACAAAGACACACAGATGTTCGTCTAGAGTAATGTGTGATTATTAGTACGCTTGAACTGCATCATCGAAGCTCAGAAGCTAATAGAATGGGATTAAATACATAAAGCATATTTGTGTTGTTTAACATTTAATTATTGCAGGTTTGCGTCATATTCTGAGTTGCATTATTTTTATTCATTTTGAGGAATACTGAATCTGTGTTGTGTGTGAGTGAGATGAATTAATGCATATTCATATTTATTTTAGAACTACAGTAACATCTGATTTCTCAACATGAGGACAGGAGAGCTGGCAATCAATAAATTAGAAAAAAAAAGTTACTTATTTGAAAAAGTAACTCAGATATTTTCTTGTAAATTACAAAGTAATGCGCTACTTTACTAGTTACTTGAAAAAAGTAATCTGATTACGTAACTCGCGTTACTTGTAATGTGTTACTCTGAACACGGAGTACAGCACGTCAATGAGCATTACGTTCATCTCTGCAGAACAGACCTCTTTATAGATCTTGATCTGTGCAGAACAAAGCAAAAGCATCAAAGAGAGGATCTCAGACGAGCAATGCAAATATTAGCCAAGCAACAAAAACAGAGTTGGCTGGCATGAAATGACTCAGTTTTGAATCGTCTTTGAATTTTGAAGTGTTACAGGAATTAAACGTGAAGGTTCATCAATTAAAATGATGAAATGAGATGCAAAGAGAAGTCAAATTCAACACGGCGCTCATCAGAGCACTGCCTAATCGATATGTGAATATTAGCTGCCTGAGGTCAAGCACTGTACCGCTGCATACATGTGCGATGTAGGCCAGTGCCGGCCTGACCAAGCCTGTGTCCCAGAGTCCAGTCTTTTATCTCAGCCCAGCCGTTAGAGTAGGCTCAAATTCTGGGTGCAATTTAACTCGGTTAATTTTTTGTTTTATTGTGAAGTTATGTTTACATTCATTCTCAAGGTTTAACAAACATGTGGAAAGCATTTCCTTCCCCATTGATGCACATTGTGATAAATACCAGTATATGGATTGTATACCATATGATATGAAGAAAAATAATAATAATTGGTGAATTGCATTGAATTGTATTTTAAATGTGGAAATTGACTTTTCTGTGTGTTTTTCTGTAGCTCAAACAGTAGAGCATTGCAGTCGCAATGCCAAGATCATGGATTTGATTCGCAGAAAAATTCTCATGCATGAACTGATCAAAATACATTCCTTCAATACATAAATTAAAAAACTGTGAGATGCGTCAAAAACATTTTTAACCATGAAATATGCAGGTCAAACTGAGCTGTAAGCATCATAATCACACTTCACAGGCATGTTCATAACTCTAAATGAGAAGAAATCACAAAACATCTAGAAAAACATCATAGGTTATCCAGTATTTCCAACAACCCAAACATCGGTGCATGTCAAATTGACCCGAAACATTATATAGACCCAATTAAAAATGAACTTTTAGAGGCGTAATTTCCTAAAGTTTTTTATTACTTTCTCGTACCCCTGGTTAATATTCAGAGACAATTATAAGTAATGTATTTGCTGAGTCATTGTGCAAACACTGTGTCTCTATAAAAACATTGCTCTGTTTGCTATTTAACATCCAGGGCGCTTTATTTGTATATTGATTATGGAGGTATCTGGATTTAATCGCTGACGACTGGACACGATCATAAACGGCTCTGTTTTAGAAAACTTTTGTTGGGTAACTCGCGTTACTTGTAATGTGTTACTCTGAACACGGAGTACAGCACGTCAATGAGCATTACGTTCATCTCTGCAGAACAGACCTCTTTATAGATCTTGATCTGTGCAGAACAAAGCAAAAGCATCAAAGAGAGGATCTCAGACGAGCAATGCAAATATTAGCCAAGCAACAAAAACAGAGTTGGCTGGCATGAAATGACTCAGTTTTGAATCGTCTTTGAATTTTGAAGTGTTACAGGAATTAAACGTGAAGGTTCATCAATTAAAATGATGAAATGAGATGCAAAGAGAAGTCAAATTCAACACGGCGCTCATCAGAGCACTGCCTAATCGATATGTGAATATTAGCTGCCTGAGGTCAAGCACTGTACCGCTGCATACATGTGCGATGTAGGCCAGTGCCGGCCTGACCAAGCCTGTGTCCCAGAGTCCAGTCTTTTATCTCAGCCCAGCCGTTAGAGTAGGCTCAAATTCTGGGTGCAATTTAACTCGGTTAATTTTCTGTTTTATTGTGAAGTTATGTTTACATTCATTCTCAAGGTTTAACAAACATGTGGAAAGCATTTCCTTCCCCATTGATGCACATTGTGATAAATACCAGTATATGGATTGTATACCATATGATATGAAGAAAAATAATAATAATTGGTGAATTGCATTGAATTGTATTTTAAATGTGGAAATTGACTTTTCTGTGTGTTTTTCTGTAGCTCAAACAGTAGAGCATTGCAGTCGCAATGCCAAGATCATGGATTTGATTCGCAGAAAAATTCTCATGCATGAACTGATCAAAATACATTCCTTCAATACATAAATTAAAAAACTGTGAGATGCGTCAAAAACATTTTTAACCATGAAATATGCAGGTCAAACTGAGCTGTAAGCATCATAATCACACTTCACAGGCATGTTCATAACTCTAAATGAGAAGAAATCACAAAACATCTAGAAAAACATCATAGGTTATCCAGTATTTCCAAAAACCCAAACATCGGTGCATGTCAAATTGACCCGAAACATTATATAGACCCAATTAAAAATGAACTTTTAGAGGCGTAATTTCCTAAAGTTTTTAATTACTTTCTCGTACCCCTGGTTAATATTCAGAGACAATTATAAGTAATGTATTTGCTGAGTCATTGTGCAAACACTGTGTCTCTATAAAAACATTGCTCTGTTTGCTATTTAACATCCAGGGCGCTTTATTTGTATATTGATTATGGAGGTATCTGGATTTAATCGCTGACGACTGGACACGATCATAAACGGCTCTGTTTTAGAAAACTTTTGTTGGAGTTATTATATTATATCTACTCTGGAGCAGGTTCATTTAACACAAACATGAAGAATGTTTTTGTGCATAAAATTACAGTCAGTGGGGTCCAAAACAACAACAGATGCCATTGACTTTCATTGCACGGACAAAAAACACAAAGTACGGCTTGAGCCAATGGAGTGAAAGTATGGAAGTCTTCAGAAAACCATTTGAAATTGATATTTTCGCGTTTGTGATGCAGAAATGACACACGTCAGCTTTAACTAATCAACCGCAGAGGGACGTCTGAATGCTGCACAGAAACGCAGCGACATATCTCTACTGAGGACTTTCGATAAACCATTGCTAAATTAGCTTCAGCCATTATGTGTACGTTGGTGATTGCTTGCCTCTCATCTTCTTAAGGATATTGCTGTCTTGTTACAGCACATCAAACAGGAATTTACTGTCACAACAATCAATTTTCCATTAAGAAGCGAGCAGGGGAGGTGAGAGGGTGAAATGAAGACATCAATTTCCTTTAATTACGCTGAGGAAATAAGACAAGAATTATCACAGCAGTATAAACAGGACTGATCCATCGAGCATAACGGCATTGACACAATCACCTCGACTCAACGGGCCCAGACTATCTGGGAGATTTCTGCGTGTCAGAGTGACTTCACAGCGGTTATCTGATCCACACAGACGCTCAGAGCTCAGGCCGATCTGGCTCTTTCTCTGAACATCTGCGACTACATGAAGAATCAGAAAAGACTAAATCCAGAAGAACTGTGGCAACATCTCCAGCACACTTGAAGAAACTTTCTGCGAAGCTGAAAAGACACGCGTGTAAAAATGCTGTACAGTGACGATGCTTTCAAAAATAATGTCATAAATATACTTTATTTATCATTTAACATCTATAAACAAAATCAAATCGACATTTGGTGTGAGCACTCTGCGTTTAAAACAGGTTTTTCCTCCGTGCACTTGAGCAGAGTTTTCCAGGGAGCTGTGCCGTTCCTCCTGCATAGAAACTACTAATAATAAATAACACGAATAATAAGACCATACAGGCATTACAAAACAAAAAATACAAGAAAATTACTACAACTTTTACTTAAAGTGAAATGAACAGAAAATACAAAAGTAAAAAATAATTAAATAACGTAACAAAAAACTAGAATAGTAGATAAGTGATATTAAAGTAACCCTGGTGTGATTTGTGTTTGTTTTTTAATTATGTTTTTCATCCCTGTTCTGAATACCATTAAATTTAGTTCTTGTGGAAAGAGGGGAACTAAAATATATGTTTACAGTGTTTATATTTTTAAACATATCATTTATTTACATACGCTTTGTTATTTCTGATAACATTTGTTATTTCCGATGCGTGTATAAATATACATATATATACTGTATATATGCACCCTCAGATTCCAGATTGTCAAATATTGTGCTCTCCTAACAAACCATACATCAATGGAAAGATTATTTATTCAGCTTTCAGATGATGCATACATCTCAATTTCGAAAAATTGACCCTTATGACTGGTTTTGTGCTCCAGGGTCACAGGGTGTGTGTGTGTGTGTGTTTGTGTTCCATAGAAGTAAGTAAGTCATGCAGCTTTGGAACAACATGAGCGAGAGAACATTTTATAGAACTTTTATTTTTGTGTGAACTGTCCCTTTAAGCCAAAGAGTCTAAACTGAGCTGCCTTTGAAATTCTGAATATTGTCATACAATATTATTCCTAGTTCTATATTGTCTTTGCAAGTTGGTTAGTTATGTAACATCTGTGCGTTTAATATCCTACCTCTTTCTGTTCTGTTTGGACTCCACATATTGCTGCTTGCTGATAATGCAAAGCTCTTATGCAAGGATCCTATTTGTAGATTTCAACACCATCATCTCTGAACATGGTTAAACTCAAATGAGCCAGCTCTCTGTGTCCTTCCCAACCTGTCTGCTTGATCCTGCAGAAACAGTCATCAGTGAGTCTGTCCCATTCACCTCCATAACCGTCTGGTTCGGCTCGGCTCGGCCACTAAATCAGGCTTCAGAAGTCTGAAACAGACAGTCAGGACTGCTGAGAGGATAATTGGTGCACTTCTGCCCTCCGTCCAGGACTGAGGATAAGGACAGGAGAAAATCATCACACACACACACACGCACACACACACACACACACACACACACACACACACACACACACACACACACAC